TTGTAATATCCAATATATGATCTAATCCTTACTCGTGCGCAAACTGTTTACTCGCGTTTAGCTATGCCGCACCGCGGAGAATTTCAGCCTCGAATCCGGCTGATATTATGATATTTTTGTCGAAATTTTTCCCGATTAATTATACCGCAGGGCAAACTGTGGAAGTTTAATGTGCATCCTCTCGGGGTCCCATACCCCGCAACGATCAGAAACTTGATTAGGTACATATTTACAGAGTGCTATACAAATAATCTGGCAAGTCCCCAGACGTCAAAGTGAATCAGCGCAGCGTCAACCGTACACCACCACCGCTACGCATTAGTATATTTTGCGTTTAAGCAGGGGAGCAACTTGAAAACGACGAGGCGGCGACTATTAATTATTGAGACAGCGATACAGTGTAATGCAATGCTATAAATAATAAGGAGGCTGCCGCTACGCGTCAGAGACATTTGAAAACGGATTTTCTCTCATAAATCGATTTAATTCCGCCGAGCGGATGCAATTTTATCGCGATGAAATATCACGCGTTATTAACGTACGTTGTCGATTAATTTGATGAAAGGGATTCATTGTTATTTATGACGATCTTAATTGCGAGAAATATCTCCGTGCTTTTTTTATTAGTTTGCAACAAAGTTATTTTGTTCTCGCAACTCGCGCTCGTGTTCCTTCGTAAATTAATATTATTGTTGCACAAAGAGGACAGAGAACAGCGAACACAGAGGAGAAATAGAATGTCTCGTATTTTTATTTTCTATAATATTTATAAAGCTACTTTAAAGAGGCTGTTTTCAAGAGATACATTTTGGTATCGCAGCTTCTCGTAAAACACGCGATGTTCCTTCATAAATTGATATATATTGTTGTGCAAAGAATATACAGAAGAACGTCTTCCTCGTACCTTTGAAAGTTCCCTCGGAACAATTATTTTCTAGAAATCGCGTTCCAATGGTACGTAACACTTTTCATAAGGTTCGCTATGCTTTTCGCATGTCTCGTGTTTACGTTATAGCGCGAGAAGCAGTAAAATATTCCTCGCTTAATAGACGCAGAGTCGAGACCGCGTCGCGACTATTATCCAGGGAGCTGGATGTTCTGGGAATTGCTGGCTGTTATCTCTCTTCGGTTCGCTCGCTCCTCGTTCCTCCGCTCGCCTCTCGAGCGCATACATACATGCAACTTGACACTGTTGAACGAGAAGAACATGGTTAAAAACCAAAAAGCAGATTGACTTGACGCGTGGAAATTTTCATACGCTTCGGTCGGGCAGAAATTGTAGAAAAAGAGCTCGAACAGAGGCAAAAGAACTCGGAAGCTTTTTTTTTTCTCTTTTCTTTTTTTCTTTTCTTCTCGTTGGAGGAGCAACGAAAACTCCACGTAGTTGGCCCTTTGGCTACTTTGGTTCTTTAGAAATTAGCCACGCTTGAATGTACGATGGAAATCGCGGCGGAAATCAAACCGACCGCGGCGCAACCGTTCTCGAAAACGAAACAATCGTCGAAACACTCGAGGGGGTTCAGCTGAATTTTCACCGTTTGTTCGGGAAATCACGACGCTTCAACATCGTGAACGAAGCGAGGTTTAGGGAACCGCGAAACGCAATGGAAACTAAACGTAATTGAATGTCATGTTTCATATCTGTCCTTCCTCAAGCAGAAGAAATAGCGGCGTTGCATCGCGGATCTCCCGAATTCCCGGCATTTTCCGAGGAATCCTTCCTTGGATTCGCGGCAGCCCTTCTCTCTGGCCCATGGTGTTTACTCAAACCCTGCGGCTCATGCACGCGAGACTCACGCGTGTATGGGACCGATATGAGGTTCCGGCTGGAAAGTGCACGTTGCAATGTGTATATCGAGCGTAGCTTTAGACGACAAGGCGTCGAAAGGAAATGCTTCCCCGGTACGTAAACCTCTGCCCCGGAAACATCGAACGTTCGCGCGGCTCCGATTACCGATATTTTAGAAATCCAATGTCTTTGTATCGTAGATTCAAGTGCCTCATTTCATAGAACAAACAGTCTTTTATAGACACAGTCGGTAGCAAGAGCAGCGAGATCGAGCATTTTATGTAGAACAGTTGCATACGTGGTACATACATGTGAACCTTTTTTCTTTTTTTTTTTTTTTTATATATATAAAAAGGCAAATGGCAATGGTTGCTTACTCGCTATGTTTGTTTCAGTTGTTGACTCTCAATGGTCATTTTCCACTTCGAAGATTCAGAACTTCGATAGGAAATTCGCAGCGAAGATATTGAACGGGTTCAGACATATGTAGCAGAAATACAGATCTCGGAAATTTATTCGTGCAGAGATTAAATATAAATAATATTTATTTAATAACAACGCTGATGATTAAACAATAAATAACCAAACAAGGTAGTGAACACAGATTGGCTAACAGATTTATAATGTACGCGGTTTACAATTAAACAAATAAACACTTTTTTGACAACTCAATCTGACGCTTCCTCACCACATTCATACTTTCTTCACGCTAAATAACTAAATGCAACTAAAGATATAACAATTACAACTACAGATTATGACTTAACAACGACGTACGATAATGACCTACGATACTAGATTAGTGTGGATTATTCCCAGTGTTGAATGTTGAACGAATCATTTAATCCTTAAAATTTCCTTCTCTGAAGCAGATCTTCCCGTTTGAAGCTTCTCTCATC